TTTCTCTTCTGCTTTCATTCCAGACACCACCTCATCCTTCTTCCCATAAACAGGGGCATCCATGCTGAGTGAATGCAACAGGGATTAGGCCCAGAGAGGGCTAGGAACATTGGGATTCTCATTCTTCACATATAAATGCAGCAGCCACTGATTCTCAAGCCAGCCAAAGGTCATTTGGCCCTTCCTGCTAAAGTCACCCTAAATCGTGAATTTGCTCCCTCAAAGCAGTGAGCCCGCCTCTTAGAGGCCAGTGTCTTTTCCTGTAGAGCAGGGCAGCTGTCGAGTTCTGACAGGGGCTAGCCCAGAGCCCACCATCACTGGCCATGAGACGTGGATGGACTGGCCTCAGCATCAGCAGTAGAGCTGGTCCCACAGGAAATGCTTGGAAGGCTGGCTACCAGCTTGTGAAACTGTAGGGTGCTGGGAGGAATTTACCCATCAGAGGCGGTTCTGTCTTCATTCTTGGATTCCAGAGCTGTGTGTTTCCTTCCACAGGGTCCATGATAGAATCCAGGATCATCTCATGCCTGAGTCCAGATGAGTTCCACATCTGGGTTCTCAGCACCCGGCATCATATCAAGATGGCCAATGCTCACTGCTCAGCCTGTCCCAGCAATATCCTTAAATTTCTGGTGAGGCTGCCTTCCTGGTGGTGGTGGGTAAAGCCCGGAGGCGATTCAGAGGGCATGAGATGGGGGCCAAGTAATGTTAGTGGCTCCTGCGTATGAAGGGACCCCAGGTGAGGATGCAACACCCTGAGGCCAGCAGCAAAATGCCAGAGCTATGGACACCATGCCCCTCAGCTACAGTGACCTCTGCTGCCTCGTGCTACCTGAATCACCAGCGGTTCTTAAACTATATCTTGCCCCATTTTCATGGGGTTGCCAGGACTGGCATTAGACTTTCTAGGGACAAGGCTGAAGCTGGAGTCCCAGAAGCCTGAGGTTACAGACCCTCCCCTGCCCCGTCTTCCCCCATCTGAGGCTGAATCCCTTGGATTTTGGATTTTGAAATCTCCCCACACACACACACACACACCCGTAGATTGTGTAGTAATTTTTGTTTTTAGAAGAGGGTCACAAAGCATTGAAGTTTGAGAACCACTGCCTTAGACTACAGGAAGACACAATCCCATGCAATACATTAGTGTACTCCCTGGGGGCACCGCAAATCCATTACAGGCTGTGGAAACCTAAACACACTACAGATTGAACCTCTCTAGTCTGGGATTCTCTGCTCCGGCAATATCCATGGTCCCCTGGATCAGAGAGCCCAGCAGCAGATGGGCTGGTGGCCGGGAGTTGAGCCAATCAATAGGCAGGAGCCCAACCAGGGCTGGGAGTGGAGCCAGGCCAGTGGCTGAGGGGCCATCCGCCAGGAGCGGGAATGGAGCTGAACCAGCAGCACGGTGGCAGGGAGCCCAGCTCAAGCCAGCAGCAGAGCCTGGTGACCAGGGCCAGCAGTGGGGTCAGTGGCCAGGAGGGGTGCCTGGGATCTGGGGCCAGCAGCCAGAAGGTAAGCCCAGCCAGGAGGCTGGCAGTCCCCCTGAGAGAGCCCAGAGGCCAGAAGCAGAGGGGCTTTCCATCCTGTTCTCCTCTACAAAGTCTGTCTTCATGTTTCTAAATACAAAAGGTTCCAATAAACCCAGACCAACCTAGTCCCTCACTCCTTTCTCAGGGTGACCATCTGAAAGTTCAGTGAAGGCTCCTCTCTTCCAAACACCCACGTAACATAAGGATATTTTGTGACCAATTCAAGCAGGCCCGCAAGTTACCTCACACACCCAAGGATTCCAAACAAATTGCTCACACTGAGGGTATGTCTACCCTACATGGCTCTGTCGACTGCCCCGTTATGCCTCGTGGGATGAGGTTTATGGGGGTGGTCGACAAAGGCTTCTGATGTCGACCGTGGAGCGTTCAGACTCCCGCGCTGTGATGACAAACAGCTGATCGGCACAGTGCAGCAGCCATTTTGATGTAAATGAAGTGGCGATTATTTAAATCGCCGCTTCATTTTACTATGTCTACAACCCGCATCTACCCAGACATACCCTGAGGCTGCGTCTAGACTGGCTGCTTGAATTTGTGCAAGAACACTGATGATCTAATGTAAGATTGTCAGTGTTCTTCCGCAAATACTATGCTGCTCCCGCTCGGGAAAAAGCCCTCTTGCACAAATGCTTTTGCGCAAGAGAGCCAGTGTAGACAGGTAAAAACTGTTTTGCGCAAAAAAGCCCCGATGGCGAAAATGGCGATCGGGGCTTTCTTGCGCAAAACCGCGTCTAGATTGGCACAGACGCTTTTCTGCAAAAAGTGCTTTTGCGCAAATCTAGACGCTCTTTTCCACAAATGCTTTTAATGGAAAAACTTTTCTGTTAAAAGCATTTGCAGAAAATCATGCCAGTCTAGGCGCAGCCGTGTTTAGAGCTTATTCCCCTACGTAGCAATAACAACCTAGCAGTCCTATTATGGGGAAGGGACTTTCCTTGCTTTCACTAAACATGGCAAAAACACAATAACAGGGTGTTTGGATCTTATTCTTTGCCAGGATCCTTTGTTCACACTTTTCCACTTGTAACAGGTTATACAAAGGTTATTACACCCACACAGGCCTACAAAACTGGCATCTCTATTGCATATACTGTACATCTATTAATACACTGCTAATCAATGATCCACTAGGTCTTTAGTGTGTGAGATGCAGGAAGCCCACCTAACCAATGAGTAACTCCCTTACCTTTACCAATTTATTCCCCTTCCAGGAAAGGGTCAGAGAGTGGCTGTTTTGCCCCCAAACTGGTTGTCACTCGGTCCCCCCTTTCAGATGGAAGCTCACTCCCTGCCTGTGCAGGAAAACCAAGGCACCACTTGATTGTCCCCCTTGCTTCTGTGGCTCACAATGTAGCTGTGCTTGAGGGCTTACAGCAGGGGTGGAGAACCTCAGGCCCAGGTGCTGGATGCAGCCCCCGGCTTGCCTGGATCTGGTCCCTGAGGCTCAGTATTGGGGAGCCTGTTCTAGTGTTCCAGTCCCCCTGCCACCCACCCTCAGGGCTGGAGCACACAAAATCTACCAACCTGGACCCCCCAGGCCCTGGTGTGCAAGGGAATGTGGGGAGAGACTTTCTCACTTTGCTTCTCACTTGTGTGTGGTGCTGACTGATTTATTTCTGTGGGTCAGCGGCCCCTGACCCAAAAAAGGTTCCCAACCTCTGGCTTACAGAATGCAATGGAGACTGGACAACTTGGAGTATGTAAGATCTCAGGCATGGGGAGAGGAGAGGCCGGGGTGGTTGGTTGACGAGAACGATCTTGACTACATTTTTTTTCTTCCAAGTCTCCCCATGAACAGGGGTGTGTGTGTTCAGAGTTATTTTTATGTCATTTAGAGACAGGCCTGAATCAGAACCCCAGACCCAAACCGCTTTGAATTGGAGGGAAATTCTCACGTAGATTAGACCCATTTTTATCACTGGCCCCAAACAGAATCTCGCATCATACAAAATGTCCCCTCTCAAACATGGGGGAAGTTTCGCTTCAGATGCAAATTTATCTCAGATACTTGTATGGACCCCATTCCTGTAAGTATCCAAGCACTTTTCAAACTGTAATATCTTTAGCCTCATGACATCCCAGTGAGGCAAAGTAGTGTTAAAAGCCCCATTTTACAGATGGGAACTGAGGTACAGAGTGGCTATATGGCTAAGTCTGGAGCAGGGCAGAGACTTGAGTCCAGCTCTCTTAAGTCCCATGCTACAGACTTAGTCACTGACATTTTCTCCTAACACCCCCAGACCTCTAACCAACATCATACTTGTATTTTTATTACTTTCTGAATTGCATTCCGATCTTTCTCGGTAAAGGTCCCATGCGATGAGCCATGGAAGAAACGGAAGCTGATGAAGTATCTGTCTTACAGCACCATTCTGAAGTGGGAAGGGAAACCCATCCAGCACCTAGGACCGATACACTACCTTGCCATGGTGCAAGTGGCTTATGTCAGCACAGGGGTAACGTATAGCATCTATTGCTCTAAACATGGGGATCCCTATAAAAAGACTGGAAGCATCTGGAGTGTGGGTTCACATTGAGTCCCTGGACTGAGCTGGCCTAGTGTCCTCACTAGATACGTGCATATGGAGACAACAGCTGGTCAGGCATTTTTCAGCCTGCCAGTTTTTCATCATAAAGTGCCAATGTGTAAAAACCAAAACTGTTTGAGAAGCATAAATTTCTGAAATGAAAAAGGATGGTGGTGGTAGTGGGGGGTTTAGCCTAATTGACTTTTGAGTTCAAAATTTTAGTAAATTTAGATCACAACACAATTTTATAAAAGGGGAAAATGTCAAAATTAAAAGAACGGTTTCAAAATGGTCAAAACAAAATTATTGGAGTGACCCAAATGGAAATGGTTTTCACTGGTTGTTGGTTCACAAGACATTTTCACATGTCAATGATTCACCCCAATTTTAAATGGCAAAACTTTTCTTAAATCTCAAGAATTCTCATGGGCCGGGGCACCCTAAATGAATCATTAGGAAAGAAGCAAGTGTCAGCCAAATAGGCTAGTGAAAAAGGACCCCACAGTATCAAATTCAGATGATTTGGGACCATTGTTAAAGAGCTTGCGTACACACACCAGATGGGTTCTTAGGATCCTTTAATGCTCTGCCTGGTATGGCTAAAGATAGCCTTAATAAGGTATTTGGCACATTCTGCCACCTAGTGGCTGAAGCGTATCATGCACTTCAGCATACCACGACAGATTACCTTCCACCATTATATTATATTGTAGCTATTGCAAAACAAAGGGAAAATACTTGCTTGTGGAGTGTGTGATTAGGACGACTGAATGCTTGAAGCAACCCTGTGATGTAGGGTCTCTGTTCATACCCATCTGATATTACTACACATTCTGCCTTCAAGCTAAGATTGCCTGTTGCTGTTAGGCAAAAGTTAGTGACTTTGCTGTCTCCAAACTGAGCTGTCTCCAAACTGAGCTATGTGCTTCTCTCTGCAGAACTTTGTAGAAAGGCTGCTGGTGCTGTTTGCAGAAGATCTGGTTTTCCTCTCCATAGACAGTGAGAGAGCAGGCATTGCGTATGAGGTAAACAATGAAGCAGGAGGGGGGTCGGCTGCAGAAAAGAGAGTACTGACTGAGCCCATAGCACAGTTCAATGAGAGCTGAGAGAGGGGAATCCAAGAAGCACCCGACAGGTGGTGGAGGGGTGTCAGCACCAAGGAAGGAGAGGGGTTGATTATGTGGCCCAGGGAGGACAAACAAGGAGTTATGGGATGCAGCTGAGCTAAGGAAAACTTGAACTGAGTATCAGGAAATGTGTCCTAATAAGGAGGGTGGTGGAATCTTCTCCCAGATGTGGAAATCCCTGTGCTTGGGATATTTAATAGTCAATTAGGAAATCCTGCACTAGTCTGAGGAGATAGACGTGGTTACTTCAGAGCCCATTCTCTTCTTTGACTTCAGGGCTTGGCAATTCCTAGTCAAGCTGTTAGAATCCTTAAAAATCAATGTCAAGTGGGTCTTTGCCCACAAAAGCTTATGCTTCAATACATCTGTTAGTCTATCAGGTGCCTCAGGACTCCTCATCGCTTTTTAAAAAATCAGTGTGGTATTGTATCAAACAGCCTCCGATCTCCATTTCTGTCATGGTTCAGAGCTAACCCCCAGGAAGCTCGAGGCAACTTCAACTCCTAAACTTCAAACCTGGGTTAACATCAGTGTTCCCTCTAATGTTTCCATCCATGTGCAGAATAATGTTTTTCTATGTGCACCGAGGCATTTGTGAATGTGCACCACCAGCAGAAACAAAAATACCTAGCTGTGGGTGCTCTGCTAATCAGCATTTGAATTGCTCCTGGGTGGCTGCCCAAGAGCTCAGCCTTCAGGGAACGCGCAGGACAAGGTGGGTCAGCTAGTAGGGGTCTGTAGGATTTTTTTTGGATCCACTTCTCCCCCACCTTGTCTCTCTCTAATATCCTGGGACCAACCCCACTACAACAGCACTGCAGAAACCAAGGTAGATACGTTCCAAGGAACTGCATGCAATTATAAGAACATTGCTGCATCTTTGTCATTTTGTGCAATAAAAACAACATGGAGGGACCACAAGGACAGAGCAGGGTCCAAAACATCCATATTTGTTAAACAGACACAAACACGCGAGGCCTAGCTACATACAGGCTGCTACTCTTACTGGGTGCTAGCAACTTCTATAACATAGTACAGCAGGTTCTCCATTCGAGAGCTCATTGAGGGAAGCTGCCCTGTGACAGTCCACTGAAGGGATTTTCCTCTTTCCTTTTCTCATTGAAGGGTAAACTCCCTCTAGCCGGGATCCAGGCAAAGGAGAAGTCTGCTCTGCTGGGAAGGCTAGAATTTGAAATCACAGGTATGTCCAGTTGTTGATTGAGGAGAGAGATGAAATCACAGCTATGTCCAGTTGTTGATTGGGGGGAGATATGGGAAGACAGCCTGTGCTAGAAGGATCCTTACATTGCAGTGGAGTCCTGGGCTGTTGGTCCAGGCCTTCGCTAACATGGCCCTGGGTGAGGACACTAGGCAGGCCAGGCTGTGGTGAGCAAGTGGAGCTACAGCTGGCTTCACTAAAGAATCCTCTTCCTCATCATTAACTGAGCCCTGCCTCTTCTCCACCCAGGACCAGCTTAAGATGTGCTGAGGCCCTAAAATTACCCCTCAGCATTACCAAAAAAATGTGTGTTCTTCTAACAGAAAGGGGAATGAAAATAGAAAGAATCAAGTTTTATATTTGCATATATACTGGTACAGAGGCATGGATGCAACTAAAAACTAAGGTTTTTTTTTTTTTTTTTAATTTAGGGGCCCCAAGCTCCTCATAATCTGAGGCCCTAAGCTCTATCTTGCTTAGCCTGTGCATAAATCCACCACAAGAGATTGCAAATCAGCCTCCTCTCCTATCTATACCCTCTGCTCAGGCTACACCCAATTCCCTGGAGCACTCTAGCACACATGCATGCACACACACCTCTGCCCCCATAATGCACTCCCCCTACTTCTGGCTATCAGCCTTTTATGGCCTGGTGTGTTCCCTGATTGGCCCATCTGCTCTCCAGCCCTGTCTCATTACTCCACCCTGTACAGCTGCTGTGAGGGGTCTGAGCAGGTGGGAGGAGGGGAGAAGAGAAGGGGAAGTTAACTCTTTGGCTGCTGGGATGCAGTTGGAATCCCTGTGCCCTCTCCCAGCATATGGGA